AACAAATAGATCATGGTATCATTTGATTTTCAATAATATTAATGAAAATTAGTGACCTATATTTTAGCATATTAATGAAATAGCTTTTAAGAAATGAAAAATACGAAAATTGTGATTGGATACGATTGTCATTTTTATCATTTTTTTAAAAAAAAATCACCATTTTAATTAAACATCGATTTTATATATTTGCATATTTTTTGTTCAATTTCATAATTTCAAATTCAGTTTTATCGCGATATTACTGAATCATGCCCCCTTTTGTATTTCCAACCATGTGAAATGAGAGTTAACATTTAGCAAGAATTTAAAATGAATTTCTGATAAGCGTTTGCCCTTACCTGTTCAATATGTTAATAATGGCTAATGAAGTTCATCGGAACGATAAAATCAGCGCAAGTCACTATTTGTGATGCTATCATTATGAAACATTATGTCTACCCGCCATGATTTATGTATTATGAGATTTGTTAGGACGATACACAAGTCGGGAAATTAGTTCCACATCACCATCGTCATCAGCACCAACCGTCAGCGAATAACCTTTATATCAGAACTACTGTCTGAACTTTCTACGGTTCTTGGCTTGTAGCACGGATTCGTGGTGACGAGTTGTCTCAATGATTTTATTATATTTGCCCATAAACTTTAATACGACGATGAAATGGCCGATTTATCCTTGTAATTATTTGCAGACACTAACATTAGATCACATGGATAATTTATATTAACGAGTCTTAAAAGGGATATTCTGAAATAGTTAATTAAAATAGTTTCATTAATCATTGAGGTACAATATAAAAAAGTTTTATCTATGAAGATCAGTTGGCACCTACCTGTATCCTGAAACTTAAAATGTGTGTGGCACATAGGAAAAATGTTATGCTCTTAATTCCAAAACAAATAGAACTTCAGCAGTAACAAAAGCTGAGCGCTACATATTTGTCTGAAGATATATTTTTCACATTAATGTTCCGCACAAATACCAGTCCTCTCAATTTACGAAACGAAAACCTCATTCGGTAACAAAAACAAGACGCTAATTCCTCGCTTGAATATATTAAGTTTTTCCATTAAGAAAATAACAGAAAAATTTGTTTTGTCATATTTGAAGTGATATATTTTTAGTTGTGTAATATATCTTTTACTATGACAAATACGGTAATTTTGTTGGTTAGGACAACTTTGTTGGTTCGGCGGTTTCACTATGGGGATGCAAAACGTTAAGCCAGGAATTTTCAACCTGACGTTTTCACTACTAAACACAGATAAGACGGCTTAATGTTGTGTATTATTGGCCAGATTAGACACTGAATACACAGTTTACATACAGCTGGCCTCAAAACACAACACAAAAAACTGAAAAGAATACACGAGTTAGGCCCAAATCGATGAAGCAGAACGAAGCTCAATTTCTTCTGTACAACAAGTGAATTCATGGCGGCCATCTTTTTTATTAATACTATTATGCTGTATTTACTTTTACAACTTATTCAATGAATGTTTTAAATAGGGAATTCACCCCTGAGTTATGCTTTGTTGCGTCTAAAGTGGATATTTTAAAGGGGTATTAACACATAACATTATAAATAAGCATTATGTTGCAAAATTTAGATTAATCTAAAAGGCGAAAGTTAAATACGTTTAAAGATTTCTTCATTAAAAAAAACCCTCCGAAGTGTCCCTTTAAAATCTGCTAGTAACATTGAATTCAATAATTTGTTCAAACACAACTCTTTATTTTTGTAAACGAGAAGTTTGTCAGTAAAAGAATTAGCTTTTATCAATGGTATTATGTTTAACTGAATGTATATTGGCTATAAGTCAAATCAAATATTAGTATTGAAAATAAGAAACTGGATTTTAGCGTGTTTATAGATGGAAAATGTCTAAATTTGATTAATGACGTTATTCAAAACATGAATGCATTTGATATGCAGCCCAGAAACAACATATTAATATTGAATATAGAAATGTCTGTACATAAGTTTTTCACGTGGGATTTTCTACGGGGAAATGACTCTAAATATTAAAAGAAGTTTATTCTATACCTGTTCTCGTTTCTTGAAAAAAAGATTTAACCATAAATTTACTAGGTACTATTTTAGTTGACAATTCTTGATCACCATTTGCATTTAAATAAATTATAGTTCACCATTCTTGTGGACTATTTGTATTTAAACATTAGATACTGTATTAGTTGATAATATGTGTTAACTATCTGTATTTAATATCTGTATTTAAACATTAGATACTGTATTAGTTGATAATTTGTGTGGACTATCTGTATTTAATCATTAGATACTGTATTAGTTGATAATTTGTGTAGACTATCTGTATTTAAACATTAGATACTGTATTAGTTGATAATTTGTGTGTAGATTTGTATTTAAACATTATTATAGTTAATCATTCTTGTTGACTACTTTTATTTAAACATTAGATACTATGTTAGTTGATAATTCGTATGGTAAATTAATATTGAAGCATATTCTAGTTGTTAATTCTTGTTGACTTTATGTATTTAATCATTAGGTACTATATTAGTGTTGATTATTCTTGTGTGCTACATCTGTATTTAAACATAGTAGGTTCTATTATAGTTGATCATTTAAACTTATCATGGACCTTATAATAGGGTCCATGAATCTATTAACAGTTGATGGTGATGATTGTCGCGAGTATCTTATCAAATCCAAACAATATCTCCATGTATCTTTAAGTATGGATGGGTGTTGTACACTAGGAGAGGTGTGATTACTCTTTGCATAACACCTAATACCACTCCTAGTTCATTTAGGAAGTTCATATAGCTAACATTTTTTGTTTTACTTATAGTATATATATATATATTATATATCATAGAATATAAGATAGTATACAGTGAAATTAGTACCCAGTCAGATGACCAATGGGAATTGAGACATATTTCATTTGACCTATTTATGTTGCTAAAAGCTTCACTCTATAAAAAAATTTCTTAGAAATGTATGTATAGTTCCAGGTATTGTCATGTGTATGTATACAGAAATCGATCTACACTGTTTAGCAATTACAACATCTGGACCGAAGAAATCAATTCTTCATATTGAATCCTCGGGCTATTTAACAAAGCATGTAAAAACCTACCTTTTAATGGTTCTCAAACATTTATCGATTATAAATTATATCTGTGTTCGCGTTCCAAAAGACTCTTACAACCGAAATAATTTTAAACAAAACATCTCTAAACGATACGCAGCTAATAATTGATTTATTTTTCAACTATATTTGTACATTGTTCTTATACAAGTCTATGACAAAATATATTGACATTTTTTTTTCGTCTGGGTAACACGTGTTTCAGTTATATTATAAAAACGAATACCTTAAATCCTCCGATCACCATTTGAGTGATTTTGAATCCCTTGCAATCCAGAATATAATGAAACTGAATACCTTAAACCCTCTATCCACCATTTTAGGGATTTGAATCGCTCGCAATCTACAATATAATGAAAGTGAATACCTTAAACTCCCAACCGCCATTTTAGGGATTTTGAATCCTTTGCAAACTACAATATAATAATGAAAGTAGAATCTGTAAAGGAATATAAGCCCCCGAAATGGTTCAATTTCGTTCAGTATTGATAAAATCGTGATGAATTGAAAACTTGGCAATATTCGGCATTCTCTCATAAAAAAACCCAACGCCACTTAGACTTGTTGTATAAAATTATTTCACCTCTTTTTAATTCGATTGAATTCAAGTAGTGTATTATCTACCGCTGATATTTTGGTTTTATTTTCTTAATTGAATGCGGGGGAGGGGGGTAAATAGTTAACGTGTGCGCGTTGCATCATAAGGTCTGTCATTGAGTCAGTTGCCGTGGTTTCGATTCCCCGCCTGTACGTGACGTAGGATCGCCTGTCCAACCTCGTGGGTTTTCTCCGGGTCCTCCAATTTCCTCCCACTGCCAAAGACACTTACGCACAAGCGATTTATTAAAATATCACTGAAAATATGATTTCCAAATACTTTGCCCTTTTAGAAAGATGTGAAATAAAAATCACCAATGTTAAAATAAAATGTTGAACATTGTAAACAGTAACTGTAGAAAATGGTGGTAATGATATTTAACGAATGTCTGCTATATTTTTTTTAGAAATGAGATTATCTATTGGATTTGGTTGAGAAATCAAAGAAGTAAAACGACAAACTTCCGCTCAACCTAAAATGCTGAGTTTACCCCTTCAATGGTCTCCATAATACATCATATGTAATGAAACCAACACATTACTTTTACATAAATCAAAACATCTGAATGTTCATTGCTGTTAGCTTAATGTTTTATTAAATTAATACATATTTTAAGAATTTTAATATGGTGCTTAATAAGAGTCTGTAAAATTTGCACTACAATTTTTATCATGTGCATATGGTATTTTTTCCGGGAAAATTCGTTCCGTTTCAATATAATCAGCTGTACCTTTTATAATTATTGTTAGTGTGTCGTTAAAATTTATGACAGGAAACAAATAATTCAAACGAAATGTAAATATAATGTAATAAGTTGTTTCTATAAAATTCAAATAAATTCTGAACATTTTAATCGAACGAAATTCCAAAACATTATGCAAAAATTAATGTCATGGACATAAAATTAAACCAAAACAAAATTTTCATTATATATATAAGAGCATATATCTAAATTCTCGATTGAAGAAGTTTGTGCTGAAAAAAAAAACGTGTTTTAAGTTATATTCATAGCCCAGGTTTATAAGTGTGATAAGGGTTGAATATCAAAGAAATATTTTTGTGTAAACTAGAATGTGTGATCCGAAAACTTGTCTGGCGAGGTCACATGAAAAACGAAATTTAGTTTATGCAAAATAAAAACGAAGGAGACGACAAAATGAATTATATGCTTGAACGTGTCTAATAGAGATAAATCTTCAAAGACATACCCCATCATTGTTCGTTAAACGTGTTTAATAATGGCCGTTTTTCTCTTTTGCAGCGTACACCCCTGCTCCAGTGGGAGGTAACCAGACAGGTCAGGCGGGGTCACGACGCTTGCGCACCGCCTATACCAATACCCAGCTTTTGGAACTTGAGAAGGAATTCCACTTCAATAAATACTTGTGTAGACCAAGGCGGATTGAGATCGCCGCCTCTTTAGATTTAACTGAGAGACAGGTATGTTCTTTGATACACCTCTGCCGGATTCCGTTCAACATCACACAGTTGAAAGGGGATTTTTTTTTTTAAAAAAAATATAATCCCTCAATGAATAATCGAAAACATGTGGTAATTCGATCTTGTAAATTAAAGAAACGGAGACAGGGCGCTGAATATAAAAAATTGAACGACATGAAAAGGTCCGATAACAATGTATGATTTCTAAAATTAAATTCTTTACTCCTGAAAAATTATATAAGCCATTTTAAACATTTTTTAAAAATATTTTGTACGTAAATGCATATTATCTAATAAGTCATTTGTCTTTTCTGCTTTTAGGTGAAAGTTTGGTTTCAAAACAGAAGAATGAAGTACAAACGCCAGTCCCAATCCGGTCGGAAGAGTTCAGATGTTGGAGATGATAGTCTGAGTCCACAAGCCATGGACAAAGACATGGGGGATTCGGGTTCGGAACACGGAGACAGTAAAGATGATATGGACACGGGCGGGGAAATGGATCTAAGCATTAAGGTCAAATCGGAAAATATTAATCAGGACAGCATGGAAATAAAAATTCCTGTTGAAAGAACCACGGTCAGTCCCCCAACACGGGGTTCAAACGCATCAACTGATTCGGGTCTCTGCTCTCCGGATAGTCTTCGCAGCGCTACAAGTCCTGCCTCTTCCACCTGCAGCGCTAACCAGTCTGGTCGACCCTCAACATCTCCTATTAACCCAAACACTTCAGTTTCATCGTCGTCACCATCAATGGCGGCCATAAGATCATCGTCGTCAGATGTTACACCAGGTGCGTCACCTTTATCAGTAGCACAGGGCAGCGTGGTTACTCAAGAGCGACCCTTCAGTTCCGCGAGATCAACACCGGAAGTGCAACCAGGTAGCAACACTACAGCACAGAGATCATACCCTTATACAATTAGTTACGGCGAAGCGGGTTATCGCTTCAATCAGAAAGCGTGTCCCGCTCCATACACTAGTCCAAATGCGAACTATTCACAAAATAATTATATGGACCAGATTCAGTTCCAACAGGGAAGAAATTACCCTGGGATACAAGCCAATGTTTCTAATGGATATTCTAATGAAAGCGGTGTGAACCCGAATCCTATGGGAGATTGTCGTTTGCAGCAACAACAGTCAACGGAACCTAATCATCACTTCGACCAATACAATATGTGTAGTTCAGAAGATAATGTGGCCGTAAGTTCTCCCCACGGAATTCTTCCAGCGCACTTCGCTCAACAAGCTAACACCGCGGAAAACCGTTTAACGCAGGATTCATTTAAAAACAGACTTCAGTATCAATTTCAATATTCTGCAAATTTCGGTGTGCAATCTACTGGAAACCAAGCGCCGAGACATGCGTACAGTGGTGAAGCAATGTACGGAAATAGAGACAATAGATCTGCGAGTCACGATTATAGCACCACCTATCCCGCTAAATCCGACGTTTATTCACAGCAGACGTCAAGTAGCCATTCCCAGCAGGCAGCAGCTGCGTACAATGCAGAATATCTTTCCCGTTATCAGCAAGGAGTCAATAATGTGAGCGATCAAAGCGCCCTGCAAGCTATGTTTCAGAATTACGCGACTGGCAGCGAATATAATGGACAAACTTTTAACGGTTACGCTGAAAATTACTGCGCGGATTCTCAAAATCCATACAGTGATTTTTATCCTCAAGCGCCCGAGTTTCCTGTAGCAGATATTTGATTATAAAATGCATGATATATACATTTATATATAAATAAGTAAGCATATAGGTTGAACATTTATGTAACGTCGAAACCTTCTTAAAATAATGGCAGCCACAAAAGATTTTAGGATACGTATCATAACTTATATTTTTTTGTGTATATAATTAGTACATTTCATACAATCAGGCATCTCTAAAAGAAACATTTAGTTGTAATTAAAAATTGTTGTGTATATGCTCAAAATCTTTATAGATCTCGGCGAAATAATTTGGTTAATTAATTGTGCTACTTGAATTTTGTTTATTTTTGTTGAATGGAATTTTTGGCTAGCAGTTAAAAGGTTTATACTTTTTACTCAGTGATCTCTACCCAAAATTGCTGCATGCTTTTGACTTTCTTTTTGTATAAAAAATATATTTAAATGGTTTAAATAAATGTATATATATTATAAATTTGTCATTTAATGACGTCATATAGATAAACGATAATATAATTATGAGTTACGTCACTTTAAGTCACGTGGGCTTTTTTTTATGTATATTATATTATATAAAATATTTTTGTCTCTAATTGTAAAAATAAAATGGCGCTTAGTCGGTCTTTATATCTATATATATTTAGCTTTAAGAGTTTTAACCGGTTGACAATTTTAATGATCACTCATCCCAGAGTTTATTAGTATACGTAAGAATGAGAGAAGAACGAATGGATGAAAGAAAGAACAATAGTATATTATAAGTATGTATGTAAAATGTTATATCTAGTCATATCATAAAATATAAGAGCTGAACATAATTTAAACATAATTTTTTTTTCTCTATTTTCAATGTGTGTGTATATTTGAAGAATTTGGAAAAAAAACATTTGCTGTGACGTATTTCAGATTTAATTAAGTCCCATTGTTATTTTTAATTAATTATTCCATTGTCCTCACTTGCTCATATTCTTATTGTCTTTCAGTATACTCTGTAAGTGGTAGATGTTTATTTATTGTGTTCACAACGAGAAATAAAATTCTTTAAGTCGAATTCTCCTTGTTTCAAACCTGTTTTAAAATATGATTTAAAAACAAAACTAGTACAAATGCAAATCAAGAAAATCCCTCGTTGAAATTACAAAATATAAACAAATGAAATGGAATGGCGTTTAACGTCCTACTTTTCTGCTCCATCTGCTAATGAAGACAGGCATACGCTCTGCAGCATGTTATGACAGAAATTTTGTCAGGACAGCGGAGCTACGGGTTACTAACGGTTCTTTACGTGTACTCAACCACGGTTCTTTACGTGTACTCAACCGTTCACACGAAACTTGGGATTTTGTCCAAACCGCCAGGCCTTCTCTCGTTAAACCCACAAACATATTAAAATATTTTGTCTAACCCACCAGGCCCTCTCTCGTTAAACCCACAAACATAGTAAAATATTTTGTCTACACCAACCGGGATAATGAAGACGAGCATGTGCCATGCAGCATGCTACGAGAGAAATTTAGCGGGGAATGCTGCTGTTCCCACAACAGTAAAGGGGCCTTTTACGTGTACTGATAAGGGAAAACAAGACTGGAATATCCCCCAGAACTATCTCGGGACCTCTTATTTATTGAGTCAGTGCCATATATACACTGGGCAACTGCAACATTATGAATTGCATATAATGGTCAAACATGGTTGAAAAGACATCTGTAATTGTAATTCGCTATCATTCACGAAAACGAGCCAAGTCATACATGATATTGTTTAAAATATATTTTATTCTATTGTTTTTTCTTTCTTTACTATACAATTTAATAAAATAGCCCGAGATTATAACTGCCGGATACGGATGTTCGAAAAGTGTCTTAGCCCCGAACGCCGAGAGTCCTTGCTACTCCACTGTAACAGATCAATGTTTTGATTTTGAATATATCCACCACATTAACTTCTTCCCAGTATTTTAACACAGCGTTGAGAAAATTACATTCTGTCAATAGAGAGAGAGAGAGAGAGAGTAATGGGGTTTAACGTCCACTCGACACAACTAGGTCATTTCGGGACTAACATATGTTATTTCAATAATTCGCTTGCGCATAGGGGTCTTTAGCAGTGGGAGGAAACGGGAGGACCCGGAGAAAACCCACGAGGTTGGACAGGCGACCCTACTCCTTGTCACGTACAACCGGGGATTCGAAACCACGCCAGTCGACTCAAGACAAACTTTATGATACAGCGCGCGCACGCTAACCATTCAGTCATCCCCCCCCCCCCCCCCTGTCAATAGAAGCGGTATAAAGAACCCGAATTACCCAGAAGAACAATCTGATTAAAACACAGATCCTATTGCATTTCGTTTTACTTGCCTTTACTACTAGAGGCCATCGAAAGTATAAAAAAAAATGAAACGAAATATAGATCTGAATTTTAATCAGATTGCAAGAAGAATTAACATACGGCAGCATTTTATGACAAAATGGATTCAAGAAATAACACTACTGCATGTTCAGCTAAACGTGGTGTCTGTAGGGGGTACTCGTGTGTTTAATATTTCCTGAATACAAGATTACATCACTTTTTTTGAGGAGTGGGGATGGGGACGGGGCTCAATTTAGTCAACTATTTATTGTATATTTCTCTTAAAAGCTGGAATGAAATGGTGTTTACGCCCTTCTGTTCTGGGGCGGGGGGAGGGGGCATGGTGGCTCAGTGAGTAGGACATATTTTGCTCGCTAATTCTTCCCGTGTTCAATCCTTGGGTTGGCCGAGAAAGTTCATCGGGATTTTCCAGTGATGTAGGACGGAGGGTCTGACAAGTCGTTCGGATGGGACGAAAAACAGAGGCCCCGTGTTAACATTGGCATGCATGTAAAAGTACCATTAACAGTTGCAATTCTATATAAGAGTAGATGGAATACGAAATAAGAGTAGTCCACAGCGCCGCGGTCCGGACCAGATTTCCCTCATGAGCCAAGTAGGACGTTAAATCCCATTTCATTTTCTTCTGTACTGCACCAATTGGGCTAATGAAGACGGACATGCGCCATGCAGTATGCTATGAGAGAAAATGTACACAGTACCTGTTTTTTCGTCCCAGCCGAACAACTACACCCTGATCCTTACCATCGCCTTTCCTACACCAATGGTGAGAGGAAACCAGGCGGGAAATTTCGAAAGAACTTACTACTTATCTTCCGTAACTTATATTATATTTCTGTGGGGGGAAACTGGGGAACACCCACGAGGTTGGACAGGCAATCAAACTCCTTGTCACGTAAAAGTGTGGGATCGAGACCACACCACTTGATTCAATGACAGACCTTATGAATCAACCGGGCATCAATTAAAACCATCCTATTTACAAATATACATCTTGTAATTCATGTCGAAATTGTATGCAATAAATTAATATTGACATATTGCGTTGATATTTCCAACAACAACAACACCAACTACTACCCATAACTATATACAGAGTCATATAAAACAAAATAGACTGGTGTTCGCAATATGAACCTTTTCAACAAAATCTAAAATGTCATCTCCCAGATTATGAAATATTTTGGTGTGACTACAATCATATAGTAACACACCGTATAGAGTGAGGTTTACCCGAATCACAGACAAAACTTTTCTTCAATTTGTGGAGATTTACTTAAAGGGGTCCATGCCAATAGTCAACCAGTGCCGAGCTCTCCACGCGTTGTGCTATTCACGAAGAGAAGAGAATGGATTTTTCCTCAATAGAAATATTACCTGATACGCAGTCAGTGTCGAGAATTTCAAAAGAACGAGTTATGTCCCTTCAATTACACACGCAAAGAAATTTGACATCGATAGTCAAGCAAATATAGAGATACATTTTTTTTTACATGAATCGTATTTAATTGAATAATTTTGTTTTAACAATAAACACAAAATACAATGCGAGATGTCAACAAAATACATTATGAATCACATCATAGAAATTTTGGATATTATTTTATGACAATTATTGTATACAATATTTCCCAAATGGACAAAATAAACGATACTGGGTAACCGCGTATTATACAGATACCAATTCCTCGAGAAGAAGGGAAGCCTATAATTAGGGCAGATACCTATTCTTAAAGAAGAACACCAGTCTATAAGACGGCAAATACCTATCTATTCTTCAAGAAGAACACCAGTCTATAAGACGGGCAGTTACCTATCCATCGGGAAAAGGGATAAAACTGAACGTTGCGGTAGTTCGGTATATTCGTTTACTATAGTATTTGTAGATCAGGCGTTGTATTTATAATCCAAGAAAATTCTACAATTAAAATTCACCAATCAACTGTTTAGTAGAAAATGGCATATAGTGGGCTTTTGATTATTGATTGATCCACTGAAATGCAACAGATAGTCTGGGCCTGCTTCTCATCGTAACATCAATTTCAAAGAGAATGAAAGAGAAATGTGGTTTAACGTCCACTCGACACAAACTGGTTATTTCGGGACTAAATGTGATTCAATTTTATTCCAACAATTCGCTTGCGCTAAAGGGTCTTTGGCAGTGGGTGGAAACCTGGGGATCCACAGAAAGCCCACGGCCATACTCCTTGTCACGTACAAGCTTGGTATGAAACCACTCCACCAGACTCAATGACAGACATTATGATCTAAAGCAGGCGCGTTAGACCATTCGGCCATCCAACCTCCTACAATCTCAAAGTTTCCATTTGCTACTCACAAACCAAAAGCGTAAAGTATTTTTCCTTTGATAAAATCAAGGCTTGTAAAGCTTTGTATACCTTCTGGGTTAAATTAGTGAAGTGGCTGTCGGGAATTCTGATGAAATTTCCACAGAAGCTACATCTTACATGATACAGATTATTCTATCACCTTGGTAACCCGAGACACTTCACGTGAAGAGCTTGTCAGAAACCCGGTCAGCAGAAAAAACAAGAGCAGATAACTTCACTGTTCTTCAGTCACGGAGTTAGAACAGATAAAACAAACAGCTCGTGCAGCGTTTGAAGAGAGTTTTTTTGACAGGATTGCGATCCTACTTCTGATACATATATCGCAAACATCTGGATGAAAAAAATGGGAAACGTACACTTTCTTACTAACAATTCAGAAAATACGATAGCTCGTTGTTCTCGAATGGTATTCACGCTGTAAAAAAATCGCTTAACAGAAATACTTTCCCCCGTCTGTTAATCCGATTACCCATAATTCTGCGTCATCATGGCGAAAAACAATAAGGCATCATACAAACAGACATATGTGGAGAATGTAATAGCTCTCCGATTCGATAAAAAAAAACACAACACATGTCAATTTCGATTGAAAAAAAAGATGGGGAAAATTGTACTTAAGTCGAGTGATCTACTGTTCAAAAGGCTAACTGGGCATTTTAACAAGAAGTTACATTTATATTCACAACGTGTCAGGATATCGTTTTTCTCGTGTTTGAGGAAATAAATTTGCTGTTGTCATTTCTCAGTGAGTGATGAGTAAGTTGTCAAAGTTAAATAGAATAATTAGTCCCCACTATGATCAAATGTATTTTATGTCGTATTTTTACTCTTAAGAAAGTCAGAACAGTTTCGTTACGAGTAAAATGAATGAATGAAATGTGATTTAACGTTTCAGTTTTCTGCTCCAAATCGGCTAATGAAGATCGGTATACTCCATGTTTGGGGAGTAGGGGGGGGGGGGCACGGTGGTTAATTGGGTAAGACGCTGGTCGAGAAAGTTCATCCAGATTTTCCGGCGTGGTTCCCCCTTGTCAGTAGTGATCCAGTAGTGGTCTAGTCGTTTGGATGGAACGAAAAACCGAGGTTCCCATGTACACATTGGCGTGCATGTAAAAATTCTTTTGACAGTTGGAATTCGATATAAGATTAGGCGTAGTGCCGCTGTCCGGGAAAAATTTCCCTTATAGCACACTGTATAGAGTATGCCCGTCTTCATTATCCCAGTTCGGAGCAGAACAGTAGGGGGGGACACCCTATTTAATTTCATACACCATGTTGTTTGCTAGAGGTAAATTTTTACAGGAGATCAATTTAATTTCAGATGGCA